ATTATCATCATCATAATCACCATGATTGCAATCGCCGCCACCATAATTGTGATATAGGCTTCTCCAGTTTATATGCCCATGTGGACCATTTATCACATGCTCTGCTATTTTGATTCCTTCTGTTACTGCTGACAAGAGGACAATGCATGAGTTAGCGGGGCGACGCGTGCAATGCGGAATTCTTTATGCAAAGTTGAGGTTAAAACACAGAAAGTTCGCTATCTGGAATCACACTCCTTTCCGACACAAACTTCCTCACATAAACCCAGGCCCCTGTACTTCTGCTCGTATTCCCCGCTGCGCTTGTATAACGGAGGCTATGGTAACAAGGAAGGCAAGGATGACCAAGTCATGCTCTACGGCTGTGAGCATCATTTCATTTCCTCATGCTTACGCGCAACAATCGCATGTTACACACAAAAGGGCATAAGAATTGGCAGCAGAAACTCGACTTTAATGCATCTCATTCCAACCCCGCCTCTTATTCTCTCTCTCGTATGGAAACCATCAACATCTACAGTAACCTTGCCAATGCATATTTGCAGGCAAAAACCAGGCGCAGATGTTTAAGGTTGTGAGATCAGCTTTCAAGCCTCAGTCAAATTCCATTCATTTTGATGGTAACTCTAAAAGCCATTTTTTTACAATAGATGTCCATCCAAGTGTGATCACTCGGCTTTTACATTTCCTGCCCGCAAATAATTCAGGGTTCCACAACCTTAAAATCCAACAAGCAACGCTAACCGCAACGGCGCAAGTGCGTATCACTGTACCCGCAACGATTCTCAAAAAGGTATGATAAGATAAGGGGAGCCTGAAAAACGCGTTCAAGGATTTTGAGCAAGAGAGGACACCCTGTTTACAGCAATTCTTTTTTCTTGGTCCCAGTTTTACCCGTTTAACATCACGTGTTGGACGTCAACTAACTTGGACCGGGGCCACACACAAAAATAACTGGACCCTGTTGCCCGTGACGTTTAGATTGCTGCTAACAAACACACTTTGTAATGAGCAGGACACATTTACAAAACACGATGTGCGCACGTGTGGGGAGGAGGGTATGTCCACTTTCAGACCACTTGGTCGTGTTCAAGAGCAAGCTCCGAGTGAAAGGAAGCCGACTTGCAGGTTGCCATTCATCACGTGCTCCTTGATTAATAAACCCCACCTCAGAGTACTTTCCATCAAGGCTCACGGACTAACTAATCGTTTGGCCGAGATAAACGTGGGTATAAACTTCACATACTCAGTGTTTGAACGCACTAGCACGGTGTAATGATTCTACAAACACACATCGCCCCCTTGAAGAAGCAGTGCAATGTGTGCAGTCTGCTTCATGGCCCAAGCCTTTCCCGATTATGGACTTTTGCACCATCCCAGTTCTTGTTGCACTGCAGGACCATGCTGCTCACTCTTATAGGCCACTCACAAAGAAACAAACACAATAAAGCAAAGTACTGCATACACAGCGCGCAACGTGTACTGTCGTTACGTCTGAGATAAATAAAATAAAAACTTTGCCAAGATTTTCAGAATTACTAGTCCAGCGAATTACAGTAATGTTTGTGCAATGTGACATTTACGACTGTAATTTTTTAACGTGGCCAGCATTTTCCGAATGCAGCCAAGATTTTGGTGCGGTACAGTACACGTACGCACCCATATAAGGCTACGTGGAGTCAAAAACAACATTCATCATGTGCAATTTTGTGGGGAATCTGGCTTTTTTGGCGCTCAAGCCAATGTGAACGTAAAATGTTACCCTTGACAATTTGCAGCAGCAGCAGCATTTAGTGCACACTGGCTAGGTTACATGCTGGCAGTCTCTTCTCACAGACACCTTACCTGGTTCGACAATTGCAACGGAGATCGGTGGCTTGTGATCAATGATGAAGCAGTTAGCTTCAAACTGACGCTATTCATTCAAAATATTTTGGAGTGATCCATATTTGTTTTCGGGTTAGGCCACGTGGTGGTAGTTTTACACGTATCCATGTATTGATCTAATTCTGACCGATAATGCTGCTTCACCGGTGGCATCAGAGTTTTCATCACCGAATTCAACATCGACATGTTGGCTGCAATAACCTACGTTTAAAGTTCACCGTGTAGTATGTTTAAATGTCAAAGGACCAAACGTGTGAGTGAATATATATGGGCATTAAATAAGATTACAGTACTTAATACCATTTACATTTTAGTGTAGATGACCAAATATAGTTGGAAGCCAAAATGAGTTCCCACAGAAATGAGCATGTTTATAGCCCTGAGCCAATGGTGGATATTCTGCATTTCTCGAACAGGGGTGAGTTTATCCATAGGCCAATTACTGCTGCCTTCCTACAGAGTGGTACTAATTGTAGTGACCATGAAGGCATTAAGGGGTGAGTTGATCACCAAATAGGATTTTAACTGTGAGTCACGGTGATTTTACCAATGGGAAGAGGGGCAAAAACCCCATCTCATATTCCTGCAAAAGATAACAGTGCAACTGCGTGGGTGAGTGGAGGATTCTGCGATGCAAAAATTACCACAAAGCATTTAATTAACATACGGATGCCAACAGTGACTCACAAGCATCTGGATTCGTAATCACGTTTAAATATAGCATTATCGCTGCTCCGCTGTTAATGCCCCCAGCATTACAGTGCGTTTATAATCCCAATTGTCTGCTGCGAGGGAGTCGTCACGGCGGCGCGATCCCACCCCCAGCAAACGGCGCAGGCCATTGGCTGGGGTTTGGCATCCTGGGTGAATCCCAAAATGCGATATCTGCGAGAGCCTCGGAATTCCCCATTGAAACCGCCACCAAGCGGCTCGTGACCAGCCGAGAAAAAGAATAGCATCCGTAGGACGCGTCCGACGGAAAACCCGCGCCGAAGAGGAGAGTGATCAAGGCGCTAAACAAGTCACGAATTAAAAACACGCACGGCCTTCGTCGTGAAAGCCGGTGGCACGAGAGCTTTCATTTACCAGAAGCCTGAGCAATGAAATTCAGTGCGCGGTGCCTAATCTTGGGGAACGAGAGGGGCGGGACGCAGGGACACCGTTAACATGTAAATTAGCCAGGCTGGGCACGCGCACGCGCGCCAAGTCTGCGCGCAACTGTTTTTTTCCTCTCTGCCAGACGTCTTTTTTTTCTCTCTCGCTCTCTCTCCTGCCAGACGGCTCACACCAGCGACAGCGCAAGAGACAGTGAGAGTCTTCCCTGAATATCGTTGCTGGCATCTGCGTCACATGTTATATATATATAACTGCGGAGTATGTGTGTAGCGTTAAGGTCACCCTTAGCTCAATTCCTGCAGCGCGTCGGTGGCACACACGTGCAAGCAGAGTGTACCGGACGGCTCGCATCAATATTGCAGTAATGTCAAGATGTGTCATGCCAATAAAATGGAACACACTGTACACTTATTTTTGAACTATGAGTACATCCAATCAGTTTTTTTGTACGTATAAAAACATGAATACGTTAAAAAAAACTTTTGATATTTTGGTTTAATATCTCATCTATATATTGGGAATATCCGAATTTGAAGCAGAATAGTATATTTCAATCTTTTATTTTCTTCTTCAATAAACCGACAAATATCTGTCCATCCACCTCCTTCTCTCTCAATTATCTCCCTCTGTCCGTCTCTCCCTCTATCTTCCATAGTCTGCGTCTCCCTGTGCCTCTGCCTCCCACTCTCTTCTTTGCATCTCCGGATTTCTGTCCGTCTCTCTCCATCTCACTCGCCATCTGCTTCCGTCTCTCTGCGTAATTACATTCGGTAGAATTTCACCGTTTACATTTTATTTACTTTTTTCAGCAAGCACTGTACTCTCCAATATTCAACTGCTCAACACGTTTCACAAAATACACGACTACCAAATCAAACAGAGCTTCTGCGGATTGATTTGCCCGAGCATAACCAAGATATGTATGCATGCAAAGGTCTTAAGTTGTTGCGCAGCCTCACTGCACGGCGCAATTCTATCTTAAAATGCATCGACACGACCCCTTAATGTCCCTAAATCCAGCACTCGGAGCGACAGCACAGCGATTCTTAACGCATCGAGCTGCGGCGTGCTCCGTGCACAGGGTAATGGTCATGTGAGCAGGCATGGAGTCAGGAGACCGAGCGGCATGTGTTCCACGCTCATACGCTCCAACGTTCCACGGCTCTTCCCTTGACCGTTCAGAGCGTGGATTTTATATAAATAAATAAACTGGCAGCGACGACGACAACAATGAGAACATTCAACCACCAAGATGTTCTTCTCGTGGCTCGTGTGGCCCCGTGACGAAGCGTGGTTACGTAGAGGGCCCGGGGGCTAAGCAATGGGACCCCCCCCCCTCCCAAATTGGCATCCACATCAATAAAAGGGGGTTACAACTTCTGCATCGTAACAAGCAGTCAATATTCCAATTACTGTGGCTAGATTATGTTAACATGCACTGTGTGTCACAGGTACGCCTGTTAGCAATTAAAGCTAGGCGAGGGTGAATCATAATTGCCCTACTGATATTCAGAGGCAGTATAATGTCACTGCTCGATCGTTAAGTTACAGACTATGGTGCATAACCTTTTACCTGGATATAAATTGGCTCATCAATGGGAACTGGGCCATTCTAAACGTAGTGCTATCGCTTACAACAACCACCAATATAATATTTGTAAAGATGATAAAACACAAGTTAGCAATTGTATTTGTTGATCAAGTACTTGGTCGGTTGAGCCATGGAGCCACTGGTTTGCACATGACGCTCTGACCCCAGTGACCCGAGTTCGATTTACAACCATGGCCAACATCAGCGGCGAATGACATCTGCACCAGCGCAGGACGCATTCCTCCCCCTTTCGCCAACCCTCGCCGACCTCTGCGGTGTGAAGTGCGCCAACAAACAAACAAACAAACCCCATGGCCGACACATGGCACGAGAAAGAAGCCTTCGCCCAGCAAGAGAGATTGAGAAATTGTTTAAGAATATTATTGAATCAAGTACTTGTACTCACCATTTCTTGGTACACTCCACCATCAGCTCTTGGTAGGAGGCCACAAACTGGAACTTGGAGGCACGTTTTCCCACTCGCTGCAGTCGCTTCCAAACCGAAGACATGATTGAGCCGTGCCACGTCGTAGCGAGCTCCAAAGTCTGAAGGCTAATAGCTCCAATTGCATAAAATGTAATAAATAAATTAAAAATGTTGCATAAAAATTCACGGTTACTGTACAGCTCTAAAGGTATGGCTTCAGTGTCCCACGCATAGTCAAGTCTTCGTAGCGAACTTGGCAGTAGACCGGCGCCCGCTCTACATGGCTTGGTTAAGGCCTGGTGCTTGCCTGGCTCCGGTCGCAGCCCTCACTTCGCGAAAGTCAGCCCCTGCAAAATATGAATAATAAACATGAGCAAAATTATTCACTTTCATTCGCAACATGTACTGCACGTCACGAGCTTTAAATAAATAAATTAGTTGAAATATGCTCCAGGAAGTGAGTTGGCTGCTCCTCCAGTCAGTAAAAACCATAATCACAGGCCTTGTTTGTCTGCGATCAAAACACTCGCAGCTTATGCCAACACAACACGTTGCAGCAAGGTCACTGCAGCCACGAAACAGCCCGAAGCTACCCACTATTATGATGCATAGCAGAGGGCTGCCCTACATTTTGCAGATGTGCTTAACAAAAACAAAGAAAAACTCAAGAACGTGGCCTTCAAGGCCCAAGAGGTCTACAAAAGGCAGCATCAACAGTTCCCCAACTCACCAAATCTACGATAAGCTAGACTATTAACTGGACACGTTTTGCAGTCGGTGCCAAACAAAATGAGAAGTTGTCATAAAAAATAGATTTCCATATGGATGATTTTTTTTTAAATCACCAAGAGCTCGTTGACATTTCACTGTAATGACATTGCCTACACAAATGCCCCCGCTCCAGAGGTAGGCATGCCGAGCACTGTACGTCTGTCAATTATTCACAAGAGTGAAATGGGGTTTTTATTCGTGCAAGCTACTTGTTTGTAGAGGTAACCGACTATCTGCATCTGAAATGAGTTTGTAATGCAAGCCCGAAGTAGTCTTATTACCTGTTCCATGACAGGTAGTTAAAAAATCACACAATAGTTCCCAACCCTGACCGAGACTGGTACAGCTGTATTAGCAACAGTCATCCTGCCATTCTTAGCAACGCCATCGTCGAGTTCAGACGTGCAGGTGACGAGCAAATAAATGTATCTCTTGAGAGTAAAAGGATGGCCGGGTAACTTAAGAAGCAGACTCAAGACTGGTGCCATCACAAATCCTACCTCTAAACCAGATGAGTCTCACGCTGGAGCATGCAGGCAGCCCCATCCTCCTCGATGAACGAGATTCTGGGATGAATGCGACGACCACTTTTGCCCCCCATCTCATTGTTCTCAGTCGACAAGACGATTCCGTCAATTTACTTATCAATCGCAACAAATCCGTCGAGCAGCCTGCGGTGCACTTGGGACCCACGGAGAGACGTTCAAGGTTGAAGGCATCCGTCCCCGTGCCCTGCGTGTGAAGTTCACAAGCCACTGGCCGTGACAATCTACGCATCCGACTGCCACCACGTGATTACCACTGTATATTACGGCAATAAAAAAAAAGAGCCCTAAGCGGACCCAGCCGATGCCACATTCGGACGTTCGTCGCAGGGCTGAGGATTAAAACACGGACACGATTTGCGCTTAAGACTCAATATACCCAGTATGTTAGTTTAACCAAGCCACACTTGCAATGAGGGCCACGGTCTAACCCGGTCAAAAACGTCCTCGATGAAGGAGCACCCAACAACACGCTGTGGATGAGGCGACGGAGGAACCAAAGCAGCAGGGCGCACGTGCCAACAGGAAAATGTTGAAATCTCTTTAAAATTGAAATTTTTCACAATGCCGATGGCCAAGCAATAGCTCCTGTAGTAAAGTGGGCCGCGACAACATCATCAGTAAATGTGCCACGCACAGTCATTCGGTTTCATGTCACCGGTGCGTCCGAGTTTGAGACGGGTGATCGAGCTTTTCTCTCCGTGAATTAGCCTTACTTCATTCCTCGTTTGCTTTAATTGACAGGCAGCGGAATAATAAAATGTGCCCTCCCTGTGCGCCGTAATGACTTGTAATGACAGCAGAAGTTTGTAATGACAGCAGATGCGGTTTAAATCCTTGCCTTAGCTGCCACTTTATTCCAGCGGTGTGACGCATTTCCCAAGACAGTTACATCAACACTGCATTGGGACACACTGCGCTGCCGTCAGAAATGTTGCGCAGTATGCGACGTCCCTGCCTGCCCCCTGTACACACACACAATAGACACTTTGAAAATCAAGGAAGGCACATATGGAGCTCATTAAGTGCCAGCACTGCCGTCCAATAACAGCTTCCACAAGCTCAGTTCACTATTGATGCCGTGGTAGAGGCAATACTCATTACATAACCTCACTCCACATCAAATGTTTAGAATATGGTGTGTTCAGCTGTCTGTAAACCATTAGGATAACCGATCGGTTATCACAGTCCTGAAAATAACCGATCCGGTTATTGTATTTACAACACATATACAATAACAAATGTAATGGAACACATCTGTTTGGAATAACGAGGTTTCCACTGCACTGAAAATATATACTGATTCTAGATTTGAACATATACCGAGTAGAACTTTCCTCTTGATAGCTAGGTTTATAAAAGTCCATAAAAAACAACTTCAGTTATCGCGTATTCCGTATCTTTGTATTGCTGCAATTACAACGCATGTGTAGCGTGCCTCGTCTGCTGCAATGTGAGAACACATTTGTAAACACACAGCCCACTGCCATGAACAAAATAGTACAAAAACAGCCCTGGAGCAGCAGAGTGCAGTAGATTGAACTGTGTAACAATAAAACATGTTGTTCCCGGGCAGTACGTGTTCGTTCCTAATTGCTTATGCCTCAAAAGTACAGAAAGTGGCTATTATTCCCCACAAACTTTGCTTTTGTGACCAGGGCAGTGATATTTTGAAATGTACCTATTTTCAATGTGAAAACGTGGTGTGCATTTGTGTCATTCCTTCACGTAAAGTCCTGGTCACAAAAGCAACGTTTGTGAGGAATACTTTTTAGGCATAAGAAATTAAATAATGACACTTACTACCCAGGGACAAACATCGTGTTAGCAAGTGTCGTCAATGCCGGTACAATGAGAGATTAGAACCAACATCGCCTTTATAACAACAACAACAACACAATTGTAAACACGCACAGCTGTAGCATGGAGTATACTTATGAATACCGACACACACTCAAAGTCCACTACTGTATTACACAAATACCGCCACAGTGATAAACGAGAAACACCACACACTCAAACCACCGATACATTGCAGAAGTAACGCCCCGACAATGTTACCCTTTATCAGTGCGAGTGATACATGGGTGAGCATCGATCATCCTCTATTGTAATGAACGTAATAAGCACACACAAACACAAATACCATCATCGCGACGATTTTTCTGTACACCCAACACAGTTAGCCGTCTTTATACCGACACATTTGTCAACACACAATCGCCTACCGGTATGCCGGACGTGTCCTTACACGAGTCGCATAACAATGATACAAGGAGTGAACACCACAAGACAATACACACACACACACACACTGGCCGTATCAACACATTTGTAAACAACACAATCAGCCACCGTTCTAATGCTGTATTACAGCGCCACAATTCGCACGTGTAAGATCATACAGTACACGCGTGTGAACATACAGTACACGCGTGTGAGATCATACAGTACACACTCGTGAGATCATACAGTACACGCGTGAATTTAATACAGTACACACGTGTGAGGACATACAGTACACACGTGTGAGGACATACAGTACACGCGTGAGTTCATACAGTACACACGTGTGAGATCATACAGTACACACGTGTGAGATCATACAGTACACACGTGTGAGATCATACAGTACACACGTGTGTGAGAACATACAGTACCTGGTCTTCACCTGAGGACGGCTGCTTGCGTTGTGGCCGAAACGTCGTGAGTATTTTATTTTATTGTTTAATTTTTTATTATTTTATTATTTCCCTTCTACGTGACTTTACCGAAAGAAAGAACCAAGAAGAATTAAAAAAAAGGAGGCCACAATATCCGCCACATACTCCTCCATATGTGCAACCACGACTGCGACCATGATATTGACACGCGTGTAAAAGCATCCCAATTAGCCACTACGTAGTATGTGTGTAGCACATATACTACATTAGTGTAGTACATACCACTACAGCAGGTCCCAACCACAGGGGCACACGTGTACAACAACAGCAGCAGCAGCCTGGGTTACACACCGTGTACAGCACCAGGTTAAACAGATACATTCTGCATATAGAACGGGGACGTCTTTGGAAGTGCATCCGTGGTGATGAACCAGTTACCAAGTTACCATTCACAGATGTGCTGCGGTGACGCTACGCAAGGCGGAAACGCCAGTTACCATTAGGAACACCACTACTGTACTATGTATCCACTGCTAAAACATGGTAACGTCGTTACCGATAGGTATAGGTAGGTACACGTCTATACCAGTTACCACTGATGATACATTACCACAGTTACCACTGTGGATACATCACAGTTACCACAGTTACATCACCACAGTTACCACTGATGATACATCACAGTTACCACAGTTACATCACCACAGTTACCACAGTTACATCACCACAGTTACCACTGTGGATACATCACAGTTACCACTGTGGATAGATCACAGTTACCACAGTTACATCACCACAGTTACCACTGATGATACATCACCACAGTTACCACTGATGATACATCACCAGTTACCACTGATGATACATTACCACAGTTACCACTGATGATACATTACCACAGTTACCACTGATGATACATTACCACAGTTACCACTGATGATACATTACCACAGTTACCACTGATGATACATTACCACAGTTACCACTGATGATACATTACCACAGTTACCACTGATGATACATCAACACAGTTACCACTGATGATACATCAACACAGTTACATCACCACAGTTACCACAGTTACCACTGTGGATACATCACCACAGTTACCACTGATGATACATCACCAGTTACCACATCACCACCGTTACCACGAGATCTACTTACCGTACGTGTGTAACAATGAAGGCGATGTGGTGTGCAGCCAGAGGCCCCACCTCGCGAACGCACTCACACCACTGGTGATGTTGTTGCTGGTGGTGATGGTGGTGGTGATGGTGGTGATGTTGTTAGTGGTGGTGATGATGATGGTGGTGTTGATGGTGGTGTTGATGGTGGTGGTGTTGGTGGTGGTGATGGTGTTGCTGGTGTTGCTGTTGGTGGTGGTGTTGCTGCTGGTGATAGTGGTGTGTGATGGTGGTGTGTGATGGTGGTGGTGTTGGTGATGTTGATGGTGGTGTTGGTGATGTTGGTGGTGGTGATGTTGATGGTGTTGGTGGTGATGGTGGTGTGTGAACACAAAGCGAGGGCTGTGTTGCTCACCGAGCGGCCATCGCAGAGCCTCGTCCCCCCGGTCTCGCTCCTGCTGCTGCTTCTCCTGCTTCACCTCCTCCTGCTTCACCTCCTCCTCCTGCTGCCACTGCTGCCGCTGCTGCTGCTTCTGTATCTGCTGCTGCTGCTTCTCTGTCCGAGCCTCCTCCTCCTCCACGCCCTCCGCGTCGCCCCCCCCACCCCCCACGGGGCCGCTCATTAAACCCGGGACGGACTCTCGACAAATCCCGGACTGGAGCGCAGCGGCAACCCAATAAAACTCGGACTGGACTTCGCCTGGACTCGCACGACCCGAAGCGGAGTCATTGGAAGTTTATGAAACTCATCAGCTGCTGTGAGTTGTGTAGATTCTGAACGTGTTCACGTATCAGCAGGCCACGACCACACCTGGGCATCGCGGCGCCTGTGCCAGGCAAGGTGCACTGTGAGGCTATCACGTGGAGGTCTCGGGGCAGACCCTGGTGCCATGGGTTGGCTGGCTGAGATGACCGGGTAGATGCAGCACCAGCCATCCACCGAGACTCGCAAACACATTCCTTAACATTAAATTGGCCCAACATATATTTTTTTAAGTATTTAATTTTTACGCAACGATATACCAGGTACACACCACAGAGGCCATTAAAGGGGGTTGACACCAGCACAACCCACACATTACGGATTGTAGCGCAACTGAAACCTGTCTAAACCGCATGTTGCCATAAACTGATTCAATTCACTCTACCAACCCCCTGGTGTCTTTCTAAGCTTTGATACCAGGCCCAACATCTTAGAGCAGAATCCTCTTGATGAAGTATCTTACGATTCGCTGAGGCTCCCCCAATTAATAAATGATAGTAGTACTAGGGGCCGTCCATAAATGACGTCACGCGATTTTGGACGATTTTTTACCCCCCCCCCTTCGTCACACGACGTCACAAAAAGTCAGACCCCCCCCTCAAATGACGTCATAAAGCTCACCCCCCCAAATAAAACATGCTTCAAATCGCTTTAAACTATTGTCATTGTAGTGCGTATTTAATGCGGCGCTGCACTCTGATGTTGTAGGAGAAAACATTTATTAAAAAGTCTATTTAACTAAGTAGAAATTGTTGTCTATTTTTATTTAAAGTTGCGCATTTTGACGTGACGTCACATTTCTCACCCCCCCCCCTCGTCACACATCGTCACTAATGTCTCCCCAGGTGCGTGACGTCATTTATGGACGGCCCCTTATTACTGTGACTGAACTCTGGAAATAACGTTGACCCATACAATCTGGTCTGGATGCATGAAATCCGAACTGGGTACATCAAATCCCGCTGGAATTACAGCTGCACACATAAATCTCAGCCTGGTTCGCATCCAGAATCTTGAAACCTAGTACACCTGGGCTCACATATCCGGCTGAGATATTATTTTTTTGTTACAATAATCCATGGACCACACCGGATTCATAAAGCCCAGCCCAGGCAATGCCTGAAATAATATAACACTGGGCCAGATCTGATCCAAGTAAAGCCTTGGCATTCATAAAAACCTGACCTGGATTCTACCTGCATTCATACGAGTAGAGCGTACATTCCAATCCACATCAAACTTGCATTCCAGTTGCCAGGGGCGATGGTGCTGATTACCCCCACCCATTGGGTATATTCTATTGCATTACACTGCATTATATTCTGCATCGAGTATTCTATAGTGCATTTAATATGCAGGGTGGTCCAGGTGTCTCGTGACCCCAAATTAATTGGCCCCTAACATATAATTTTTCTCATTTGCATATTCATTTCTGTTTTAAATAAACCTTACTCCCAAAATATATCACGTTTCAGAGAATTAAATTCGGGGGGGGGGGGGGGGTGGGGGTCACAAGACATCTGGACAACCCTGTACATTACAGTACAGCGTCTCATATCCGATTCACAGTACAGTGCTCGCAGTCGAATGAGTGAGAAAGGTCGGACACGGGAAGATCTCCACCGAATGGCGATGGACACCGCGCGCACAAACACTGCGCTGGGTGCGGGATATTCATTGGTTGATGGGGTCGACTCCATCTGACGGTCGGATACGCGACGTTGTACTCTGTGTAAACGAACTGCGGTCCGAGTCGCAAAGGGGATGTTTAGTCTCAATAGCAGTGGTCGGTGACATCTACTGCAGCCTTGCACCCCTTTGGTTATCGATCGTTTAAAAATGTAGAATGTTAATAAACACATGAAACAAAGTGGTTGTTCTCGCGTGCCCGTGCTTCATTTGTGTTTCGATTATTTACTTTCTAAATAAAAAAAACCTGGCCAAGTCTCACACCCCTAGAAAGGGCATCTCGCACCCCCAGGGGGTGCAGCGTCCACTCCAGGTTAAGAAGAAGAAGAAGCACTGCTCAATCGGGTTGGAGTGAACAGTGGTTTAGTTGAAATGTAATATGATCATTGGTTTTTTACCCTTTTATCTGGCAACAAAACTGACACCTTTTTTTACAAGGAGTCATGTTTGCATTGACCACAATACCTGCAGTCGAAATGCAAACAAAAAACACAACTCTAATAATGTATACACTGTCCTTGAAATTGATTGGTCCACTCCCGAGGCAGCTTTCTTTAGAGCCTAGTCTCACATGGTGTTGGACCAGATGACGCCAAAAGGCGCAGAACTCAAGGACAATGTATTTTGTCGTGACACGGATGGTCCGTTTAACCAGCGTCGCGGCAATTTTACAAAAGGGAAGATCCGTGGCATCGATATCGCAGAGGAGGAGAGTGCAGCAGTTGCCCTGAAGGATTATTGCGCAACAGAGCGAGGAGGTATGTAACGGTTCTAAACGCATTAGAATGTTTGCGATCGAATATACGCGATGTAAGGCGCAGGTGCGATGTGCATCAATGTGCAGCTGCTGCGGGAGGTGCGGCTTCTAACTGGACTCACACTCCTGCGAGTCTCAACCAAACCACTTCGTTCTAGACGTCACCTTCATCCACCCACTCCAGCAATTGACCGACGATGCTCAGCGAGGTAAAGCGTGGCTAACCCCACACCACACGAGCCCCGCACTTGCAGCGCCACGCTGGGTTAGACTCCAGCTCGTTCAGGATGCGGCTACTGGAGTCGTTACGCGCTCTCGTGTCTCTTGCACTGGCTGCCAGTCAAGCATCGAGTGGATTATACGGTCGTGCTGCTGACCTACGAGGCACTCGATGGGTTAGCCGCGCAACATTCACAACAACTGATCCTTTGTTCACTCTCCAACGAGGTTCCTGAGATGTTCGGATGGCCTTCTTCTAAGAACTCTGAGGTCAAGGCTCTGTTCTTGGCAGTGCAGCTAACGGACTGTAGAAGAACGCGTTTTTGCCTTTGGCAATGAGACAATGTGTCGTTAGAGCTGTTTAAGTCTGTCCTGAAAACTCACCTCCTTAAATTAGCCTTTACCCCCCGCTAGTTCTGTCCGTTTACCCTGCAGGTTCTAGTCATTTCCTGCTTCCCATACACAGCGTGCATGGGGATCTACGGATTAAATGCGCCTTACGAATGTAAATGGTCATCGTCATTATTACTTGCAGCGTAGGCTTCAACAGTTCCCTGTCGATCGCACAGAACCCGTCCGTGCTCGCTGGCCCGTGCCACGTGCGCTCGGTGCGTGCCCGCTAACACAAGCCCGGTGCGTGCCCTCTGGAATCTCACGAACGACGATGACACATTTCCGATGGGTTCAGAGTAGAGCTGTGGGGCACGGGGTGTGGGTGGGGAGGAGGAGGAGGAGATGGAGCGGCATTTCCTCTTGTAACGGGGCTCGGGTGGCCTTCAAAACACCGCTCGCTTCCTCGTCCTGGTCGGAATGCGTAAATAAATGAATATAGCCGTGCACAAAACTCCACGCCATGCGCTCCGAACTGCCACTCGCAACAAGATAATTCAAGGCGAGAGTCACACACACACGTGTTTAATAGAGCGTAAGGTTGAAATGCTTTGAAAACCATGCGAGTTGTGTATTATAAATATTATAAATAATTTACAGTCATTTGTCAATTCGCTGCTGGGTGAAGATCTCCTCTAGCTGTTGGTCTAGAGATTATTTGACCTTACTTCACCACGCTGGTCAATGCGGGTTGATGAAGATGGGGGGGGGCAGGACTAGTTCATATATCCCCTCTTGACCACTGATTTTAACCAAGGCCAGGTTTCAAACTCAGCTCGCTGAGTCAACAGAGTGGCACCCTAACCACTGCGCTACCACCAGATCTCCATGCCCACGATGTGTGGAAGAGTCAGTATGTAAAACGATGCAAGAGTGATAGGGCACTTACAGAGGTTAGGCTTCTATCCCATCTTCATGCACTGATCACGTAACTTTTAAATAAGGTGCAGCCCTGCAAATTGCTGGCTCAGGCCACTGCTGGTGGAAAGGCCTCCAATAGAGGGAGCGCTAGCGAGGGCACTTTTCAAGAGGCATTTTTTTGGCCTACTCTTCCACGCAGGCCAGAAGTGGCGACCCATCCCCGGATTGCAAGTCCAGTGCGCTGCTGACCTTCCCCCGCACCTCCGATCGGCACGGTCGACTATGTACGGTGCGAAAGAAGTTCAACATACAGTACATACATAACCGTGACGCCACAGCAGCTCCCTTTGAACCGAGAGAGGCGGCGTCAACCGTGTCCCTGTCCGCAGACAAGCCGGGGGTAGCGAACACTCCCGTGGGGCGACACGCATGGGGAAACCCACGTTGGCAAAGCCAGGGTTTTGATTTTGTGTTTTGTTAATCCCACCGATGGGGGTGGCGAGGGAGGGTGGGGCGAGGTGAGGAGTGAGCCACTGCGAAGTTTCCCATTCAGGACCTCACCGGGGTTGAGTTTCCCTTTAATCCGCGCTGCGGACGGGGGTTGCCTGGGAGGGCTTCCCCCTCGTGTCCCTTCCTGCGCGTTGCTGGGGGGTGCGTGTCCCGTTCATTACTTTTCCTCGCCCAAAAACAAAGCGAGACAGCCACTGCCCTTGTTTTCCTGAAGCCACGAGCCGAATGGAAGTCAGAAAACAAATATTAAAATAAAAATCCATCGAGTGCGCAGGCGGTGCAACTGCGGCGGCACCCACGGGCGGGAGGGGCCGGGGGTCAGAAGGTGCCTGGCGGTTCACGCTACGCAGAGGGGGCAGGGAATTGGACACGTGGCCCCATTGCATTCCCGGTCCATGCCA